CGCGGCGGGTTCTTCCCCCCCTCGCGTCCAGGCCGCTGCGGTTGCTCTTATTGTCGCCCCGTAAGGGCGCATGTGCGTGGAGCCGGCTGGTTTGCCCGCTGCTGCTGCCGCCGCTGTCAAAACCACTCTCGAGGCGGAATTCTCACGTTCTGCGCAGCCGCACACGGCCTCCCACACCCTCCCCTCCGGAGCCCAGCAGGCGTGGCGCGGTTCAGTCCCCGGCCAAGCAGCCCTGAAGGGGAGGTCTTCCCCGCCCTCGGAACGCTGGCGTCGGAACCTCCCCCCTTTGCCGCGAGAGCCAATGGGAAGCCAGGGCCTCTGCGGATAGATACGCCCGGGCGGAAAGAGGAAGCTGGGAGCGGGTCGGCTCAGGAGGAGAGCGCGGGAGGCTGCCGGCGCTCCCCGGGGGGGGTGGGCCTTTGCTGCTCTCGCGCACCTCTCCGGGACGCATGGCCCTGAACAGGAGGAGAGAAGGTGAGGCGGCGGGGCGAGCTGGGGCAGCAGGCAGACAAGGACGCCGCTGTGCAGGAAGCACAGGGAGCAACCGGGAGTAACCGGGAGTGGGCTGGTCGAATCGGCCCCCGAGTACAGGAGTGGAACTCGCCGCGGTCGGCGGAGAAGAAGGGTTTGTCTGTGTCCTAGGCATGGACAAGGCGCCAGAAGTCTCTTCTGAGGTTAAGGGATGAGAAGATCTGAAGAAGCCTGTGGAAAGAGGGCACCAAACAGCGTGGGTTGCTCGTAATGCCTTTCACCTGGGTTGGTGGCACAGTAGGCTCCCAGAGTGGCGAAGCTAACAGGTGGAACAGCAAAGGAGGTTTATCTGTTTCAGCTTCGCCTCCAGGTAATCCACCCCATCGCTAGGAAGCGTGGCCAATGTGCCGTCCAGCACATCGGAGGAATGCCAGATCAGAAAAGGCTGGACTTTGTTATTAAGAAGTCGCATCCTAAGTTCCCAAAATGTGGGGTAATGCTGAATGTCAACTTAGCTGGAAAAGGTCCCTGCGATTGTTAAGGAAAGTGCGTTGGAAAATCTTAGCCAAGAGAATTAAGCTGAGTGCTGAAGAATGTTGCACTGAGTGGTTGATGAAATTATGTAGTATTACTTTTATTTCTCTAATGTTGTATCACATACTGATAAAAATTAGGGCATGGTGAATATTTTTAACAGTACCTAGGACCTTGGGGTGAATTGACCTATATAACTGAAAAAACTAATTTGCCAGGAATGTGCCAAACCACAATTTTGAAATTGAAATTATCTATTTCCAGAGATGGACCTACACAGAGTGAGGCAGCCTCGTCCTGAGCGGGTGGGAGGGAATGGGTAGTGACTGACCAAGGGCAAGATTTTGGAGGATAAAATGTACATTGTCACATGGTCTCTCAGTCACCTCTAAATTAGCTTACAGTTTTCAGATATAATAAAATAGCCTGTCCTATTGTCCGTGTTGAAATAAGAGGACAGTGGGATTTTGTACTTGAAACTGGAAAGGTTGGCAACTTATTTTTCAGGCTGCAAATGATTTGCACCAGCCCTGTCACTAAACCTGAGAAGATAAAATAGAGTGGCCAATGTACTACCTACTAATGGAGTTACATTATACTGAAATTATGCTTGTAATTATGTTGGGAAGATTTGTGGAGTAAATCTTAGAAGTTTAAAATCCTTCTGGCTAGATTCAGAGGGAAACAGCAATAAACAGTTAGCCTAGCATGGGCCAAAATGCATTCTTGACTACTGTCTTTCTATTTCTCTACTTTTTACCTTGATATGGTAGGCTGGCATTCATCATATCTGCTGTTAAAATGAAATTCTAATGCGGAAGATGCAAAAATGTCTAGGGCGTTGGCCATTATTCCTGTACAAGTGAGAAGGTTACAGAAACAACGTTATGGCAGGAGCATAATGGAGTGAAATGAGCGCGGCTACATTTCTGTGAAACACAAGCTAAATTACCACTGGCTCTAATATCATGGGTGGAGCCTGGCCATGAATCAAACTCTTGTTAAAGCAGAGAATCTTATCCAAAGTGGTTTTTTGGGGGAGGGGGCAAGGTTAGTTATAGTTTAATTTGCCTTAACCTCAGCTCTGTGCTAACCCTGTCTTCTGGCTCCCAAACCAAAAAACAGCAAGCCACAAAATCGGGCTATTATAACTCCAGTGCTCTTTCTTTGCTTGCTTTTTTGCAGGCTACCCTGTTGGCATTCAGGATTCGGTATGAAGTGAGAAATATAGGAGACCTGGAACCACCCCAACCATGGTGATTCTGATCCTAGCTCTTTAGTTTTTCCCCCTAATATTCATTAAAAAAAAAAAAAATCAGGAAGTATCACCTGACCAGCCACCACAAAGTCACAGCCAAGATACCTGCCCCAGAGCAATCCAGAACTGGGGATGTCTGGTGTCAGACTTCTGTGTGCCATGAAAAAGCTTCTTGAACACAGAAGATAAGAACGGCCAGATTCATACGCCAGGGCATGCTATAAAATGCCTTGCCTGATTTTGCGGTAACGTGTTTGCAGGATTCCAACTATTGTGCTTTGTAAACCTCCATATATGAAATGTAGGCCCAGCTAGATGGCAGAACCTAGCTGACCTTGGCTGATCTTTAAAAAGTAATCAGGGTTGGACGTGGTTAATATTTGTATGGGAGATCATATAAAGGAAATCTGAGGACTTTAGGCTAGATGTGGAAGGTGAAAAAAATATATCCTGGAAGAAGGCAGTAGCAAACCTCTTCATATTATTTCCAAAGGAACTCAGTGAAGATATCCATGTATTATATATGAACATGTCCAATTTAACTTCTTTAAAAACCATGGTTTTTGCTGGGGCATACTGGAGCCAATTTAAACTTCAAGTGGACTTTATTTTTTCTTGCTACTTCTGTACATTCTGTGTCATCTGTCTTTTCTGCATGCTTCATACTTCTCTCTCTCAACTGCACTTTTAATTCATTTTCCAAATTAAAATTCCTGTAGCATTATAATTCTTGGCTTCTTTCTCCAGTGAGATTGGAACAGATTCAACTTTAATTTATCCAAAATCAGTTCATCAGAAGTCTACACAGATCAAAGAACTCTTACACAATTGGTGTAGGTTTTACCTTTTTTTTTTCATTTTAGAATTTTATTTTGCTTTATTTTGCTTTATTTGCTTTGCTTTATTTGCAAAGGGCAACAACTCTTTGCTTGTCATCACATATTCTTTTAAGCTTAGTCAAAATAGCTATTGTTTATTTTTGTATTCTGTTCTTCAGCTGAAAAATATTTTTCTTTGTATATAAAATAGGAGATCTTGGTTAGCAAAAGCTTTCAATCTTAATCTAATCCTAATGACGCTCCCTGAGTTATTTCCCAATTCTCCATCATTCTTGCAATTTATTTATTATTAAGACTGTTTTTATATTGTATTTTAATTGATTTTATTTCTGCTGTAAACCGCCCAGAGTCATTTCAATGAGATGGGCGGTGACAAATTTGATATACAAATAAAAAATATAAAATGATCTGATTTTTCTTGTTAAATATAGATATAGATGAAAGCTTATTTTTTTACTATTGAGGGGATGATAAAATATAATAGAAAAATGAAGCTATCCTATACTAGCTTTCAATTCTTATCAATTTCCAGGGGCAGTTTTCTTAAAAAGTAATAATCCAGGAATGACAAGGAAGAGATTCTTTGCAAAAATATTGATCTCTAATTTAAAATAATTAATATCACATTTGTTTTTACATAGCTTGTTTGTGAAAAATGTAGATAGCTGAATTTTATATTAATAAATGTACATATTTAGTTATTTCTGCCAGCATACTTTACAGCCCAGAATTTTGTATACCGGTAGATCTATTTAAAAAGGGGGGTATATGAAGGTGTTCTCCTGTACACTGACCATATACAGGAAAATATTTTTTATTCAAAATGTGGAAAAAGTAAAGAGGAAATGCAGAGCTATTTTTTAAACAAAGAAGCTTAAATTTCCTGTTATTTAAATTTTTTTTTAAAAAATGAACTTGCAGGTATGTATGTGAAAATGCTCACAACCTCTCTGGTGTTCAGGGGAAGTGGTTGAGCAGTGAGTGTCCTTGATGTTAAAGTCATACACTCAAACTAAGGGGAGTGAAATGTTATGGAAGATCCACCCCTTTGGATATTTGCATTGTTCATCTGGATCTTTTTACTAAAGGGTATTGTTCTCATTGAGAGAAAATAGACAAAATGAAAATCAGTGTGGACTGATTGACTGTTGGAAGTTTCACTTGGGATGCCCTGTGAAACTCTGATAATGAATTGTACACATCAAGAGGTCCACCTGAAAGTAGCTGTAATATTTTTCTAGGTCCAATTCAAAGTGCTGTTTTTAATATTTGAAATCCTAAACAGCTTAGGATCTGCCTACACTCATAGGTATCTATTGTAAGTACTTGTGCCAAATGAAGTGATCACTAGTGAGCAGAGTCCTTCTCTTTTCTCTTCTCTTCTCTTCTCTTCTCTTCTCTTCTCTTCTCTTCTCTTCTCTTCTCTTCTCTTCTCTTCTTCAAATCAATTCAAATCAATTAAATCTTTATTACAGTCAAAGAATAAGCATAATTCTTTTCATAGTGACACCAAAATGACATCTGCAGAGACACTTGCTAAGTGTTAACCTTCTGGTCTTTTAGATGTCCCGTGAAGGCCTTTTTCCATGCAGTAATTTTCAATCATTTATTTATATTTACAGCATTTATCTTCTTTTTTGGGGGGAAGATTTTTGTATAAAATTCTGTATGTTTGAACTATGTGTATTAATACTGTTTAATTGGATATTTTACTAGTATAAGCTGCCAACAATTCATCTTTATGGATAACTGTAGTTATATAAAGATAGCAATAAAGTACTGTCCATTGACAAGATTGTTTCTAAAGGTTCTCTTTAGCAAGAGCTTTTTTTGAATAGAAAAAGAAAAGAAGCAAACAGATGTTACTGGTTTTCCACTTTGCAATTTGGTGTACTCTCTAATTGGTTCTAGTGAAAATACAAAACAGGGGGCTAATTTTCTCTTCATGCATTCTGAACCTCCTATGATGATGTCACATTTTTTGTAGTCAGTTTCTGGATATATCCTAGGCCAGCCTGCACTGCAACTTCATCTCTAAGTGTACCATTAGATACCACTATTGCATTTCCTCTTCCCCCCATCTTTAATTATATTTAAGTTTTTGAACTGTTAATATAATTTTGAGAACATGATTTGTAGGAGAAAATGTGAAATGAAGTAACTGAAAATGGATTAACTGGATATTGAGGTGATGGGAAGCTGAGCTTAAAAACAAAGTGGGGGATGCACACAGAGCATGGTTTCCGGAATTCTTTCCACCCTGGTTAATAATAGTTCTACTCTGGGTCATGTGAGCAGGAGGGGGGGCAGCTTAAGAACAGAGCAGTCGGCAGTGTTCCAAATCACTGCCTAATGGCCTCTCCCATAAGGATGCCTTGTGAGAATTTTCTCTGCTGGCTTCTCCAGCCACACCAAATTCAGCCCCATTTTTGTCAGTTTTCAGAGAGAGCCTGCTGAAAGACAGAGTCCCAATCCTATTACATAATTTCTTTCCAATGTAGCATTGGATTGGAAACAAGAAAAGGAAGGACGAGTGATAAGACAACCCCAACTTCTCCTCAACCCCTGTAAGTAGGCTAACTGATGTTTCTGTAGTCATTTTTTTTATTTTTTTCAAAATGTTGGGGAGCGATGAGATATAAAACATCAGACAGATTCCAAGACAGTATATTAGAGTGTTTTAATACTAGAGATAATTGTAAGGCAGGAATAGTGAAAGACTACAGTTTTTGGAAGGCA